GCTCTCCACCTCAAATTATTAGAGTTTTGCCCCTATACCTCCTACTTTTTCTTTAACAATAAAGTCCATAGTTTATGTATCTAACATATTTTAATGGGGTATTTAAATTAAAATGACGAGAGTTCAGGTGCAATCTGGAAATACAGTATCTACATAGTTAATCGAATCTGCTGTTTCCTAATCTTTCATATCAAGTCTTGTCATTCATTTATCTAACGCCATTTGCAAGATAAAAAAGCAGTCAGTCGACAGACGACAGTAAAAATTTATAAAACGTATGAAATTTAAAGATTGAATTTAAAGGATGTTAATGAACTGTTCAAAATTGCAGACTAATCTGCTTTCTGGCTTTCATCTGTTTGTTAGTGAATTTGTTTTTCTTAAAATTGTTTACAATTCACATTAAAAGTCTAAATATTTGTTCATCGGCATAAATAGATGGCAAAAGTATATAATATGAAACACACCAAAATATTTTTTTTAGGCCGAGACTTCACTAGCGTGAAAACGAGCGTAAAAACCCTCACTGTAAAAGCTTTTAATAACGTGACCATGATATTTTATGCCTGAGCAGGTGGTAAAACAGACATAGAAACGAGTTGAGCAGTGATCAACTTTCCACGCGGATATGGCTGTAAAACGGTACCATTTACCAATCAGATATCAGTGAAATCTAGGTCATTAAGACACGGTGCGAAAAATGGCGGAAAACAAGCTTTTGTGTACGTTCCCTCGTGGAACTCTATAATAGGTCTGGAAAGATTTATCAAAAACATCCGAAAGTGTTCACATATCTACGACAAGAGGTATACTGATTATAATAATGGATGCCTAAAACATGCGACATAGACGGCCAAAAAAAATCCTTCAATTTAGAGTAGTATATAATAAAAAAGCTAAGCTTGTACTATCTTAATACAGTCGACCCCCTATAATTACGGTCCCTATAGTTACGATTTGTATAAAACTACGAAAAAATTGCTACCGGTATCCGTAAAAAATAGTAAAAGTTTCCTATAAACATCTCAAACGTCATCGGGAAGCCGAACTACTTTCCCGCTGTCCGTAGCGCCACGCTACGGAGAGATTTCTATCGTCTGGACAGTATTATATAAATTATATATAAATTAGGTACTGTACATATAATTATATATTAATTATATATAAATTAGGTACTGTATATATAATTATATATTAACTTATTGTAACTTTGTTATAATTAAATATATAATTTCCGCCGTCTAGCGTGGCGCCACGCTACGGAGATTTTTACGCTAACTATCGTCTGTCAGTATGTAAATTAGGTACCGTAAGTCTAATACAGTACTGTAATTTTATACATTTCTTGTGAAAGAAACATTTCTTATTCAACGGCGATTAAAATTATTTATATTAATGATGTCTCCGAAGTTCTACGAAGTTTTCACAGAAAAATAAGTTGTTAGAAATCGGCCGCTCTTTGCTGAGCTGTTCCGCGACGAAAACAATGTTGAGCAATGGCAATGTCGAATGGTGACACTCGGTAAGTAATCCTACAATTTTTTGTTTATAGCGTAGTTTATACGGATTATTCCCAAAAAATATATACGTATTTTGGAAATGTTGAGTCGGATTAGTCTAGAATCGATTAATTTTATGGAAGAAAATCTTTCAAACAGCCGTAGTCCGTAAACTTGATACGTGTCGGGTTGTGATCGGAAGGATTCGTAAGAAAGCGGATTCCTAGAGAATGGAACGTATCTCTATCTTATAGGGGGGTCGACTGTAATACGATAATAAAAGTTAATATATGAAAGTAAAGATATTATTTTTACTATATTTGTAATTATAGTACAGAAAAAAGACATGGAATATAATCATTGTCTTTATATGGATATATCACGTATATAACCATCTTCCATTTCCACCAATACACATGCCAAGAAGTATTTACTTTCGACACTTGGGGCAGCACAGTCGCTGTAAAAACTTCCCGAGCTAGACATTTACTACGATTCAGAAGCAAAAGCAAATGGGTAACGTCATTAAAAAAATTTATGGCCAAGGGTTTTATGCCCGTTTTGTGGAGTCTCGGCCTTACGTTATTTTTAATTTAAAAAACTCAGTATTGTAAATGTCAATTTTGTTAAAGTGTTTCATCAGATTCCAAAAACAGAAATCATTATATATCAGGTTCATCATGTTCTTTCATGTGATGTTAACTGAATTAAAACCCGTGATTTATTACTACTGTACTTTATTAAAAAAAGTAAAACTGTATTTGTCATACTCACATCTTTGTAGTCAAGTTAAAATTGTTTATTTAAGCTTAAAAATCACTCCACTACACTCCTGCACTTATTTGAATAATGGTATACAATTCATATTTTTAAAGATGAATTACTGAAAGTTACACTACTTTTCTCAGTAATTTAATTGTAGCAGAAAATATTTGAGTAGAAATCCAGTTAAAAAGACATTTTCTTTTTTTATCAATAAGCATAATATAGAACGAACACACCAGTAATTGATGATTACAACTTTTTTGGGCTGCTATTTAAAAGAATTGTAGATTTATAAATTCACAATGTCATCAAGCTGCGTGTCCTTTTTTAGTCTTGAGAACATAGTTAATTTGATGACAGACAAGACTGCATGTTAAGATTCTAGGTGCAGAAGGCCTGGAGTTACTATTTTGTAATATAATTGAGATTGGTTGATAATAATATTAGTAAGTGCAGTGCCCAAACACTTAAAAGTTGAAAGTCAAAATTTAGTACACAGTAAGGAAACACTGTGAAAATTCTCTCTTGTGGGGAAAAGAGAAAGAGCTCTTACCCTCAAGAATATGGCTTTGACTATACTATATTAAACACGATATTTTTTCGTTATTAGAGAAATAGAACATATTTTTGACCCATATAGAAATTTTCTTATTAATCTGAGAAGAAGGAAAACCAAATTTTTCTCTTTGGTGAAAATTGATAAAATTAGCTATAATGTAACAATGTTCATTTTTGTGTCGATACTTTTCGCCCAAGCTCTGCCGAGCTTATTGGCTAGTATATGATAGAGAGGATAATTATAAAATAAATAATTGCTTGTTTTCATCACATTTGTGCACAAAGTAACTATAAATGTTATAAGTTGTAATATCAGCATATAATATTACATTTCCTCATAGGAATATCGAATTATGACGAACAATAGTTTATAGAAAATTGTTATTTACACTACAGTTCAAGTATGTAATTTGTTCTTGCAGTTTACTTTTGAGATTAGTTGTTCTACATTTTGAAAAAAAAGCCTTTTTTAATTTTGAATGAATAGATTTATTGTATAAAGGAAATTGAATTATTTCTTGGGGTTAAATTTATTAGGAACTTGTGTTACAAAAAATATTTGCAAATATATGTAATGCAGTCACCCCCCCTTATAACGCGGTAGATACGTTCCACTTTTTATGAAATTCATGTTCTACGACACCTTAATTCATGAGCCATGTGTGCTGTTTATAGACTACGGCTGTTTGAAACGTATTCTTCCATAAAATTAATCGCTTCTGAACTAATTCGACTCAACATTTCCAAAACACGTATAATTTTTTTGAGAATAATCCACGTAAACTATGCTATAAACAAAAAATTGTAGGATCGCTTACCGAGTGTGCACCGTTCGGCAACGCCATTGCTTAAGCTTGTTTTTATCGTGGAGTGGCGCATCGAATGGAACTTGCATATTTCCTGATAAATTATTTTTCTGAGAAAAATTCGCTGAACTTTGGAGACATCATTTGGAGACATCATTAATATAAATATAATTTTTATGGACGTTAAATAATAAATGGTTTTTAGTAGGTTTGCTGCTCGTTTAAACTCAATGGTTTGTGCATTATCCGCTATTGGTCTAGATTCGACCAATCCTGTCGCGACACGAGTCGGTGTGACGTTTTACCGAATTATACGAGTTTCTTTTAGCGTGTTTATACAAATACGGTCGCAATTTTTTCGCCGTTATATACGAATCCGAATTACGTGAATCAGTTACTAAGCACAACAAAATCATTCAACTTCGCACATAGAGAAATCTATACATAAACAAATTTCGAAAGTTTTTTGATGTTTCAATGTCTGATAAGCTTGAAAGCAGTGCCGGCCCGAGGCAAGTTTTAGGATGGAGCGAAATCCTATTATGGCGCCCCCTTGGTCAGTAGCGTAGCGAACATAACTGGCGCTCGGGGCACGACACTTTATTGGCGCCCCCTCCAGAAACACATATAGCAGAGGTGGGGAACCTTTTTACCATTAGAGGCCACATTTAAATTAGGCAGCAATAAGAGAGGCCGCATAAGCTGATTGACCTAAGAAAGTGACTTTTGTGAAATTATTATAGTTTTTCTATAGATTTAACAATTTATTGCATTATATAGAAAAAANTATTTTAGAGGGGAATATCAGCGAAACTGCAAAAATACTAGTGCAATTTGCGTGGTAAATGTGAGATATAATGTTAATCGTCTCTTGTGCAAACTTATTAATATAATTAAAAATTCAAATATTGCTAAAATAATATCAATTTATTAGCTGAAAAATAGTATTAATACATCAGGTAAACACAAAAGTATAACTCTAAAAATTTTTACTGCAAAGAAATCCCGAAGAGTATAAAATTTAAATGAAAATCAATTACTGTATCTAAATGTACAGTACATTTCTATTAGATTAATAATTAATAATAAGGAGATTAATTACAGTAAAATAAAAAATGTTAACATTTTATTCGTATATAATGAAATCAAAATACGTTAAAATTTTGAGATATTTCAATATATAACAATTAAGAAACAATATACTATATTGTAACAGATCTCCAGAACTAACAACTGGTACAATTATAACATTAAATTTATCTGTTCAATTTACACTGAATAAAACAATATGTTGGAAAATTTCATTTTATAATGTCTGGTATAGTTTTATTTTATAATCAAAACTAACTTTTTCAGAGGCATTTTCCCAAGTCTAAATTTTGTTATTAGCTTTAACTAAAAAAAATGGAGGGATCAAAGAAAAAACAACAGGAATGAACATCAATGCATGAAATGCAGTTTCTATTGCTATAAGAAATACTATTTTCACAAATACAATTAATGCGTACATATCTCTGTATACAAATAAAATTCCTAAAATTGTTGACAGAGATCCTTGACATATTGGATAGCCGATACGATACAGACTATCTTTCATTCTTTCATTCGGGTTTTGATACAAAGAAAAAATATAAGCGTAAGACATGTGAGCAGGATAATTGACGCAAAATCCGACACATAATATTAGACTCATCATTGAAAAAATGTCCATGTTTATTCCCCAAAGTGACATGTATCCTATAGTTTCTACAATGGTGGATGTTACCGATATTGCTACGAGAAAAGCAACGACAATGTTCGGTATGATAACTATACACAAAATCATAACTAATAGTGAAGTGATCCAAAATAAATCTCTAATTGTGCGTCCAATTATAATTCCTTGTTCGTACAGAGAAGTTAATGCTGCATGAACAAGAACGGGAAAATCAAATTCGTCAGCAATTTTCCACAGAGTTTTTAACATTTCCATTTCAGCTGCTTGACTTAACGTATCATTTACAAGGATATAAAATCTGCTAGTTAAAATATCGGATCCATCAGAATTAAAGGCGATATCGTTGGTGAATTGTTCCGCTGATTTAAATTTCAGGAAAACATTGCGAAGTCCATCCAAGAAATCTTGTTTAACCGACATGTTGTATCCTCGTAATGAATATTTAGCCAGCGGGTGATTTTGAAATTCTTTGTAATATTTTAACCAAGATACTGTAAATCGAGAATCTGCAATATGTGGAAGACTTTCGAATTTTTTAAGTAATTCATCTATGTTCCTCTGTACATTTAAATCTGAATAATCAAGTGTGCTATTAATGACTATTTGGTACGGAAACCCATAACGGCTGAAACTATTATAATATAATCTTATACCCTGTGTTATTACCGATTTTTGTGGATATAGCTTAGTGTAATTAATACCGTGTGTTATAGTTAAGGCTCCCCATATTCCAAATGATAAATTCAGAAAGTAAACTATGATAACTATAATCTTCATTGTACTGATACATAGAATTCTCCCCAACTTGTCTCGAAAGAATGCCATCGTTGGCTCATCAGTAGACGTTTCTTCTTCTGTAGTAGAATATTCTATATCTTCTGAAAATAAAGTTAATCACTTAGAATTTATATACAACATTATTTATTTGAAAAAACATTTCAGAACGACGTTTATTAATTTATAAATCAATTTATGTAATACTAATTATTAGCAAATAATTAATGAATAACAGATATCAGCGAAACAAGTAAAAAAACTGTCATAAAATCACAAAAAAATTTGCTTATCCGAAAAGGCGAATGTTTTAAAAATATTTTGTACCATATTTCTCATTTTATTTTATTGAAGGGCCGTTATGTCAGCAAAATAAAACAAAGTTATTATCGAAGATGGAGAAAGTGAGGAAACGAATAAGGGGAATGTACAGTCAGAAAGAAAAGTAAGGATGACTCCCTCTCAGCGGGTCAAGTAAGGTTAATACTTTTCACTGCGTTTAATGTTCACGTAGAGTTTTCAAGCTACAACGTCGTGGGTCAAAAAGTAAACGTGAGTTGTAAAGAACTGTACTCTAATAACCAGTGCAGCTTCATATAATAGAAAAAGCAAAGTTTAACGCTTAACTCTAAAATAAAGATTTATGCTTATATTAAAATTAAGCTATTCTGCGATAACTCGAACTTTAATAATATATTAAATTTTTCGAAATAATGCACCATGTATTCAATACACTATACAATTAACCTTCATATTTTGCCAGAAGTCACCTGATACCAGTCCATAGAATCTCGTATAGCATTTACTTAAAAAATGAAACAACATTACCTAAATTAAAACGAAATGTATTTTGTCGTTGTTTCTCTTCACTGTGTCCTGATAATGCCATGCACCCTGCAAAAAACGTTATCTGATACAAAAACGTAAACACTATGCTGGTTGCGGAATAATAACAAAACATTTTTATAAGAGGGAAAGATGACATTATTCCAACACAATAGGATAACAGATTAGTCAATGATGTTAAAGTTATAGAAATTCCTGCTTCACCGAATGTTTCTTCCATGCGTTTGTGTACTTTATGCTTGGGGTTTGATATTCTCCAACACGCCAACAATACGAAGGCATCATCGATCTCTGTCACTACATCAGAAAGCCTTTATTAATTGAAGAATTCATAATCTAAAAGTAAACAAATATAAAAGAGGGAGTAATCACTTACCGAGAACTAAAAACGGAATGGTGATGTTCCAAATACTATTTGGTACACCGACAACCGACATGAATCCGAAAGAAGAGACCACTGCCAGACCAGCCGACACGACACTTTCTGCACCTAGAAGAGGCTTGCTTTTTGCCCAATTGTTGCTCATGCACATAACAGCAGTGAAAACAGATATAAATGCAATTGGAGCACCAATCATAGGTTTTATATTTTCCACTAAATGCACATTTTGCTGTTCTATTGACCAGTAGTTATCAATAAAACACATAAGATGTTTAAATTGATGATTTCTAATTCGATTATATACTTCTGTTCGCCATCTTTTAATCATATCGTGTTTTTTCTTGTTGCTGTCGTCAGTGAAATAAATTAATCTCGTAGCATTTGCTGTCTGAATGAAATCGTTTTCATCTTCGATTACAGCTCCAAAGTTGAGAGAATAAATTTGATATGAGTATGTCAACGGATCTATGTCGACCGGATACTTTAATTTCTTTTTTCTCTGCACTATATTGTCAATTTCGGAAAATTTTTCAATAATCGGATTTTCAAAACATTTTTCACGTACACGTGCACAAATATCTGAATATCCAATTTGTACACCTTCATGATGAATTGTTATATTTTTAATTAGTTGATCCACCGAACTTATTTCTAGCAGCACATCTTTTTCGAGCATGTCTCCACCACCTTTTCGTGTAAAAATCACAAACACAAAATTCGGTATGTGTGTATATCTTGCCGGATCAAAAAATTTCGATGTATTAAAAGGAAATGTTTTGTCAATGAACTTCTTAGTATTATAGACTTTTCCTGAATCTGCGAATGCCAGTTCGATTACATTTGAGATAGTGTTTATATTGAAGATAAAGGCTGAAAATGACGCTGTTATTAAAATAGGAATAATAATAAAGTAGTAAGGATGAAGTCCGATTAATCTTCCTAATTTTCGAAAAACGATCGATAATCGATTCCTTACACAGTCAACTTTCATGTTTTTATTTTGATTTCGATAAGATACTATTTACCCTATAAAAAATAGAACATAATTAAGATAAATTATATTACATAATTGATTAAAATTCATTCTTATAAGTGACTATATGAAAGTTATCTGAATGTAAAGTTATGCACAATGGTTTACGTTACTGCAGTTCCACTGTTTCGTTTGACTATAAAAATAGTCGTCATATAATCAAAGTGAATTTTTTTGTATTTGAAACATATTATTTTTATCCAATTCGACCTTATTGGAAAATTATGGTAAACATGTTATTAAGTAATTTAAAAATGAAAGCTATATACTATCATTTTCCTAGGTTTCGTTTATGGTGAGTTTTCAATTGTTTTACAGTAAAAGAACTTTTATCGCCAAACTGATGGGATTTTCATAGATTCAAAAATTGGAAGAAATTAACAGAAACCTATATGTTACATATGGACAAAACTTTATTAAACCTATAGAACATTATACTTTTTGCAAAGTATGTTCGATGACATATTGATTATATATAATAGAGTAATAACGACACCTGTTCAAATATTAAAACAAGCCAATAAGGTTACCCAAGAAATCGAATATTATAATTAAATAAATTATCTAGATACAACAATTACATAATTTTTAGGTCACCTTATATATTGTAAGTTTGTTAAACCATGAAGTGCTAAATACGTTATTAACTTTAAATCGTATTGCATTGTAAATCAAAAAGGAAACATATACATTTAATGTAAATAAGAGATATTTTCGATAACAACAGAAATGGATAAGACAGAACAGGAAATTGAAACAGCACAAAGAAGTATATTCTAAACTATTATCTAAAGAAAATACTAAATAATTAATTGTACCAATTGAAAAACAAGAAACGAAACAGTACATATTATTTCCTTATATAAAAGGCATATACGAAGAATATAACAAAATTATTATTTAAAGTTATATATCTCCCGTAAGTCAAAAAGGAAAGAGAAATTGATTTATCGTGTATTTTTATACGATACAATTAAGTAAGAATTGGATAATTAATCTGACTCCATTGTTATAAAATAATAATTCAAAATAACTATTTCAGTTATAAAATAGTGTTTATATTTTTTTCCAACATATTGTATAAACGATATAAAAAGTATGTTCTCGTATAAATATCGTGTTTATAGAAAAGTCATTGGTCTGTAATTTTTTAATGTTGAAAAAAGTTATACAGATGAAACAGGAGACAAGAAGTGAAAAACTTCGAAGAAGTAAACCCAGATTAATTTACGTGCTTTCTGCGAAAAATTACACAAGAACTTCACGTAAACCGAAGTCGATCAAATGCCGTATCCATCATCATGATAAATGCAGAATAGAATGACACATTTTACAGTGAGCCATTCGATAGAAAAGCAGAAAAAATACGTCTATTTAGAATAAGAATATTGTGATAATCTGGAGGTAGTCTTGAATCACTTTATATAATTTTACCCTAAACAAACTTAAATAAATAATTTACTTTAATTTCACTTAAAAATATTGAAAAATGATAAAATTTGGAATAATTAACTTAACATAACCTAAAAAGGTTATAAAACTTTAACATCCTGCAAAACTGCTCTGTCACGTAACATTTTTCAAGAACCGAGGATGTTTTGCTTCCTTCCTCCACACCTCGTATCTTAGAATTTTGCACACCACCTTCTCAAATGTCATAACTCATTTCTAGAAATTATTATTATGAAATAATTGGAGATAAAAAGGCGAGTTTGCCGACACTCGGGGAGTTCGTTCAGAAATTGCCAAAGTGATTACTCCTCCTCCAACAGCTGAACCTGTCCTCCGGACTCGCCACCTCAGGAAGAGAATCAACGAGATACAAGGTTTCAACATGAACTATGAGGTAAACGTTTATTGTAAACTCTCTCTCTCGGGATAGTTTAATATACCACAGGGACAGGGATAATCCATACCTAAGTACTTATCATATTATTATTCCTTTGTGTATCTATTATAGCCTGTTGTAGTATTGTTAGCAATGATTAAACTGTTAATTTTATATTATAGTACTTCTGTTGTCAAGTATCTGTTCTTTATGCACAGACCCCACACAGAATCTTACCATTCGGGTTCTGAGAAAAATTAAGCCATCCAGTGACAAGGTGAGCAGGTCTAACAGATCTGACAATTAGAGGGCCTGGACCCTCGTCCGTATTCTCACATATTGGTGTCAGGAGTGGAGTATTGTGCAAAGATAGGTCGAACCTGTCTCAGACGGACAACCTGTGTAAAAAAGGACAAACCTGTCTAGAAAGGACGAAGATCACATTTTGGTGTCTTCTTACCCTTCCTTCTATAATTAAGTTAGTTATAGGTATACAGACGTTGTAATTAAGTTATAAGTTATAAGTTAGAAAATGGAGGGAGAATCTTCTAGAGGAGCCACTTGGCAGGGAACCCTATAACCTTAGGAGGTTTAGGGGGAATGATTCCATTACTTCCTGTGTTTTCAAGGGATACTAGCGGAATTTGTATTACCGAATTCTTTGACGCGCTAGCTGATGTAAATCGGGTGGCTGCCTGGAAAAAGGCCCAGATGTTGGCCGTGGCCAGGTTAAAATTGACTGGTATTGCCCGGAAATTTGCTCGAAAGGATAGGAGAATTAAGGATGTAGAAGATTTTGAAACATTTAAAAAAGTTATGATAGAGCGCTTTGAACGAATTCCATATACCTATAAGCTTCAGAAATTTTATGCCTGTGTGCAAGCTCGAGATGAAGACATACAAGCATATGCTGTCAGATTACAGTCCTTGGCTGCAGAGGTGGAGATAGAGCATTAAGGAGGTAGTGATATAGAAATAGCAATTATAAAGAGGGTCAAAGAGAAAGAATTAGATGAGAGACTTAGAGTAAAGTTTTTATCAGGGATTGATATGAAGATTAGACAGAGGGTAATGTCTAGAGATCCTGAGACGTTTGATTAGGCTTTGCAAATAGCCATCAGTGAAGAAAATATATAACTATTGACGTCCTATCCTCGTGGGTCCCTGAAAGTAATAAAAGAGGAAGAGATTCTTCAAAAGTCCCAAGAAAGGGATAGGTCTAGAGACAAATCAAAGCCAGAAATGGAACAGTTAATAACTGCTTTGAGGGCATTAAGAGCTGATTTTAATAATTTAAATAGGAGTTCAGCCCAAAGAGGAAGAAGGAAATGGCAAGGTACTAGGCAAGGTCAGGGGCAATATCCTGAACCTTCCAGAAGGGTCCAAGGTAGGGGATACGCTTATAATTCTACTACTTGGGGGAGAAACAAGTGAGTACTTCTGTTGGTTGAGAGAAATATTCAGCTGTGGGATCAATGCCCAGACCTAATGGTTCATTACTGCAACGAAAACCCTCTCCCCTCCAACAAACTGTTTCAAAGCAACCCGATGGAAGAGGTCAACCAAGAGTAAGGTTTGCTCCTATTTCAAGGGAACCTAGTGAGCTAAGGCAACCAAATAATCAGGAGCCCTATAGGCCAGCATATCAATATAGGGGAAAAATAGGAAGTATGCCTCCTAGAACAAGGTTAAAGAATAAAAAAAAGAAAGATAACTGGTATTATTGTTCTGGTAATATAATTCCTTGGAAAAAGTCAAATGAGAGTTATTTGACCGAAGCAGAAAAGATTAGAAGAATACATAATGAACCTACAATAATAGGGGAAATAGAAGACATACAAGCTACGTTACAAGTGGATACAGGAGCTAAGGTGTCACTATTATCCAAGACCTTTCTTGATCAAATGCAAAAAAGGTTGCCCATTGATTATAACCAAGAAACTGATTTAAGAAGTGCCACGGGTCATACTATACATACCTATGGAATCCTGAGTCCTATTTTCAAAATTGGAGAATTACGTTTCCCTTTTCCCTGTTGTATAGTAAATAATGAGGTTACGTATTCTTGTGATGGTTTAATTGGTAGGGACATGATCGTAGAAAAAGGATTCTTACCAGATTTACAAAATGGGCGATTGATAATACCTCCTCAAAAGATCATCCCCTTTATTAGCTCTCCTATTCTACAAAGACGGACTGAGTATAATTTAGGCAAACTAAGGGATGATAACTGTCCTGTGCAAGTAAAGGGGCCCGAACAGGGGAGATTACATACTTCTAGGGAAGTTACATCGGGACCTGATCATATCCCTAAGATCACGGTTAAAGTAAAGGAAATAAGTAAACCTAACCCCCTTAATAGGAAGTGAAGTAGAAGGAAAGGAAGTAATTCTACTAGAGACTTGTAAACTTCCTTCCTGGTCCGATAATATTGTTACAGCCACAATAAAAGAAATGAACAGCCATAAGGAAACAGGGGTTATTGAATCACAACCTCTACAGATAGACAGTCTTGTTGGAGCCCATGTATTAGTAACTACAAATAAGAAGGGACAAGTTCCCATTAGACTTCAGAATACTACCCATAATATAATTAGCTTAGAAAAAGGCACAACTGTGGGGACTTTCTGGAAAACTTTAGAGGAAAATAGGCCTGCTGAAACCATAAAGGAGGGAGCTACTTCCACTTTGTCTAAAGAGGAGTTTAGTAAGTTATTTAATTGGGACAAGATCAAAGAAAAAGAGAAACAAGCGTTGTTAGAATTATTATATAAATATAGATATATTTTTGCACTTGATGACTATGATTTGGGGTATTGTGATATAGTTAAGCATTAGATAAATACCGGTGATGCCACTCCCATTTACTCTCCTCCATATAGAATACCATATGCTCAAAGGCAACAATTAAATGACATAGTAGAGGGATTATTAGAAAATAATATTATTGAACATTCCACGTCTCCGTGGAGTTCCCCAGCTTTATTGGTAAGGAAGCGTGATGGTAGTTTTAGATTAATTATCGACTATCAGAAATTAAATAAGATAACCAAGGTAGATCCTTGGTTATCTTATTTACTTGTACTTCCGTTAGTACAGGAATCGTTAAGTCTAATGGGGAAAGCTACCTATTTTTTCACTATGGATAAAATCTCGGGATTTTGG